AAAAAAAAAAAAAAAAAAAAAAAAAAAGAAAAACAAATAGGTATTCAGTGTTCATCAATAAATTTCTGCAGCCATAAAAAAGGAAGGAAAGCACGTCCTCTGCAGCAACATGGGTACAGTTGGAGGCCATTATCCTATGCAAATTAACACAGAAACAGAAAACCAAACACTGCATGTTCTCACTTATAAGTGGAAGCTAAACACTGTGTATTCATGGACATAAAGATGGCAACAAGAGACACTGGGGACTCCTAATTAGGCAGGGGAGAGAGGGAGAGAAACAAGGATTGAAGATACTGTGTTCACTGCCTGGGCGGCAGGATCAGTCATACCCCAGACCCCGGCATCATACAGCAGACCCAGGTACAAACCTGCACACGAGCCCCTGAACCTAAGACAAAAGTTGACGTAATTAAAAAGCAAAATGATTTTTAAAATATCAAACAACAACAACAAAGAAAACAACTCTAACTTTCGTGGCTGAACCTAATGAGTGACTTAGGAGCCAAAACCAAGCCACCAGCCCAACACAGACACATTAATCATATGCAGTTATGGTTTCTTTCATGTGAAATAACTCTCTAGGGGCACAGCGAGAATGTGCCACTCTCCAGGTGAGAGGGCTTGTAACCAAGGCAACCATCATGCCATCAGGAGTAGGCATAACTTCAGACCTAAATTAAGGCATGGTTATTTAAGACATCGCCAGAAGCGTGCCTCCCACTTTGCTGATCTTTGCCCACCATTCTCCTTGCTTCTTAGGACCTATCACATGGCTAAAAGAGCCTGAACAGCACAGGGTATTATATTTTTTAAAGTTGTCTACACTTGCGGAGCTGTCTGAAAAGTCATTCTCCTCAAAGGGATCCCGGGACAGCAGACACTCTTCCCTAAGGAGAAAGTCCCCAGTCACTGTCATTTCTCCAGAAACCGTATGATGTGATTGCAAGTAAAAACAAAAAAAACACCGTCATCTAAAAATCCAGAAAACCTGAAAAAATGCCACGTCATCACAGTCCTGAGAGCACAGCGGCTTTGCAAGGACCATGGGAGAAGACCCCTGCTGGACTGCTCCCCTAAGCTCCATCCTCTTTCACGCATTTTATAGAACGTAAATTGTGACTTTTAAAAAAACTACCAAAAAAAAGCAAGAATGAGAAGGTACTATTTTGACCAGAAACCATAAGGCCTGTTCATGGAGAAGTGATTGTGGAGAGAACAGCACAGCCTCCAAAATCAGTCTGGCTGCTGCCTCTCCTCAGGCGAAAGTGAATTTGGCCCGCTTGCTGGCGCGGGCCACGGGCAGCCTCTCCGTGGATGTTTTGCATGGCTAAGCACCAGACGAACACAGAAGCAGCACTGTAAACTTTTTGCAAATTAACACCACTTAGTTGATGACACGCTTTTATTCTTTTCCTCCATCCCTAGATGGTTTAGCGCTTGGGAAATAAAAGATGATGGAAAGCAGACTAGGCCACTGTTTTGACTCCGATGGGAGAGCGAAGATCACGCTTGTTGTTTTACGGCATTAAAAGATCCATGTCTCTCTCTCTTTAAATCTGGCCAACACTGTTCTAAGAACTGCTGCTGATTTTCACACAGTGGCAACGTCATCTTCCTGGTGTCACCCACTGAAAAACCGGTCTGCCCCTGACAGTGCGGCCAGGACCTGGCTGCCACCAGAGACAGAATGCCAGTCTTTTCGCTCCCCACACCCAGGGTCCTGTCTGTCTCCACAACCAAGGGGAAGAAAAAGTTAAACTGAGTAAAGAAATAGAACAGACTGGGCGCGGTGGCTCCCGTCTGCAATCCCAGCACTCTGGGAGACTGAGGCAGGTGGATCACCTGAGGTCAGGAGTTTGAGACCAGCCTGGTCAACATGGAGAAACTCCATCTTTACTGAAAATACAAAAATTAGCTGGGTGTGGTGGTGTGCGCCTGTAGTCCCAGCTACTCGGGAGGTTGAGGCAGGAGAATTGCTTGAACTCAGGAGGTGGAGGTTGCAGTGAGCTGAGATCGCGCCATTGCACTCCAGCCTGTGTGACGGAGTGAGACTCGCTCTCAAAAAAAAAAAAAAAAAAAAAAAAGAAGGAGAGAAAAGAAATGGAACAATGCAAATGAACAGCAGGCCCAGTCATGGAGATTCCTTACAATCTTAAATTTAAAAAATTCTGAGATCTTCTGATAGGGAAACATACCAGTTCTTTGAAAAATATCCTCAAACGTATCTCCTTCTCCTTTCTGTTTGCCTGAGAATTATTATTGCTGAATTTATACATCAGTGAATCTATGTAGCTGCAGCAAAATCACAAGCTTGAGGAACAGATTAAAGCCAGGAACCATCATTACCTCGAGGCAAAACAGTCTCTGTGTTTAAAGCACAGTTCTAGCTACCTCAGAGTTATAAAACAATTCTAAGACCGGCTGCTAGCGGCACTTGCGATCTAAAGAAAGAAGCACAGAAGAAAAACCATCCCTGGAGAGGAATGGCCTATGAATGGGCCTTTTTAAAATTATGAGTTGGAGGTTTCTGTGAAGCCCCTTAAACAGTATATGTCCATAAGTTCGTTTTTCTGGAGGGAGTGTCTGTAGCTTTTGGAAGATTCTCAAAGATATCCCTGACCCTTTAAATGACAGATAATTCTCAGAGCCAGAGCCCTCACTATCAGCTGCAAAGTCCTTTGTAACTACGTAATAAAACAGATGGTGTTTTACCCTCGTGGAAAAAAAGTTATAATATCATAACTGGTGGGTTGTTCATGCTCAGGCGGTGTCGCAGTGATAAATCTTTATAATGATATTAAATTGTTAAAATTATCCACATAGTTCCATAAATATATGATACATCGTGGTTATAAAAGGGGCCTCTCTTATGAAACTTTTTAAAAGACAGTTTTACCGTATCATTAATTTGCTATAGAATCAACACATTATTCACAATAAATATTAATTAAGGAATAACTAAACAATTTTGTGTGTCCTCCTAAAATTTATAAAAGCTTTCTTGGGGGAGATTTAAGAGGCCTAAGGTGCTTTGAAAACAAAAACCCAAACCCAGAAATCTGAAGGAATGCCTTGGCTCAGCCAGTCCTGAGGCCGACGCTGACTGTCTTTTGGGGGTCAGTGCGGGGGCTTGAGGTCTAATCCTATCATGAGAAGCCTGAATGCGAAAGGGTATACGTGAAGCAGAAACTGCCCTAGTGGTAGAGGATGAAGCCACACAGCACTGGGCGCGATGCATAACCAAACGCGTGGGATGAATCCAAAGCCATCCTGTAAAAACGCTTATTAAGAAGCGCCAGCTGAGGATTTCCCGTTCGTTTCTTCCTTCCCAAATGGTCTGTGCTACCTGCCCCCAAACCCTGTACCAAGAACTGGCCCTTCTGCTCGGAAGTGAGAGACTGGGAAGTCACTTACCAGATGCAGGGGCCTGGCCACCAGTGGAGCTTGCAGACCCGGTGCCTGCCCTCGCCGAGCTTGGGGGCCTCCCATCGTCCCCGTCCTCCAGCTGGTCTCCAGCCTCTGCCCTGCTGGCTTCTTTTTCAGGGGGAAGGCCCATGCCATAGGCACACCGGGGCAAGGGTCCATGTTTTGGGGAACCCTCCAGGGGCTCACAGTCCTCCCCAGGGGGCTTCCGGCAGCCTGTGCAGACATCTGCCCAGTTGGGGCTGGGGCTGGCTGCCCAGTGTTGGCAATGGCCACCGTCCACCTCTTTTTGCAAGTAGTTTTCAGAGGACACGGGGATCCAGTCAGTCCCACACAGGGGCTCAGTGCAATTGCAGCTTTCTGAACCCACCGTGCTCTGCGTCCCCGTGAAGCACTGGCTTAAACTGTCATTCTCCCCCACCTCCAGGGGTTCGGAGAAAGGAGGTGTGGATCTGCTTCCAGGCTCAGTGAGGAACAGTAAATTGTCTGCGGGCTGCGAGGGCCTGTCCATGTATTCATCTTCCATGGGCATCTGTCTGAAGCCGTCTTCCTCCATCTCGGTCTCAATGACCAACGAGAGCATCCTGGCACCTTCGCCCTGTGCGTAGGGCCCACCTCCAGCACACGTGCCCTGACAGACACCACCTTGACCTGGGTAGCACATATCATCTGGAAATGTCTTCTCCTCCAGAGTCAGCAGTAAGACACTTTCACACACTCCTTGCTGACCAAAGGTTGTCGTGTGTGTACTGACACAACTGTCGCCTGAGGACTCCTGCCGATATACATTCAGAAGGCAGAGGCGTTAATACCGAGTTATTAGGATGAGTTCAGCTAAACACTGCTAAAAGCAGTGTTTGCACTGATTATTTCCACCATAACAAGTACAGATGGAGTACTGACCATGGCACTTTGTGCCATTCCAAATTCCCGAGTAGAGGAGAACTCTAGAATGGAATACAGCTAGAAACAAATGCATCTAGCTGCATCTCAGAGGAAAAGCATGTCCACACCAAGGAGAGGGGCTAACCCAGAACCCAAATTCTGTTCTGACAGAATACTGTCAGAACACAGTGTTCTGACTACATAGTCTCAATCTAAATCCCAAACCCCAAACAATTGTAAACAAATATTTAACTCCAGTTAGCAGCTCTGTATATCACTGTGGTATAGTCTAGTAATTCTGAAACTACTTTCTGTGTATTCTAGAATTGAGTAAATGAGGAAGTACACTGAGAGTAACAGAAGCCAGGTTTCATACAGCTGGAGAAAGAAAGATTCAAATATGGGAAAGGGAAAGACCAGAACGAATCCTGCTGTGTTGGGCCTGGAATTGGAGAAATCAGTTTGGGCTTATGCTTTCAAACGTATACGTTTGGTATCAAAGAAAGTAGATATAGCCAGGTGTGTTGGCTCATGCCTGTAATCCCAGCGTGGAGGCCAAGGTGGGTAGATCACCAGAGTTCAGGAGTTCAAGACCAGCCTGGGCAACACCGTGAAACCCCATCTCTACTAAAAATACAAAAATTAGTTGGGTATGGTGGCTAGTGCCTGTAATCACAGTTACTGAGGAGGCCGAGGCAGGAGGATTGCTTAAACCCGGCAGGCGAAGGTTGCAGTGAGCTGAGATTGTGCCACTGCACTCCAGCCTGGATGACAGAGCGAGACTCTGTCTTAAAAAAAGAAAATAAAAGTAGATCTAAAGGACATAATGAGATGATTGATGAAAATTTGACATCAAATGTGGGTTGAATAATAGTATTGTACCACGGTTAAATTTATTGATTCCGATACATGTACTATGGTTATATATGAGAATCTCCTTGTTCTTAAATACACACTGAAATATTTAAGGATATGGGGCACACAGTCTGCCATCACTCTAAAATGGTTCAAGAAGAAAACATACCTCTGTGTTCATATACACGCATACAGAGAGTAAGCAAATCATAAAGCAATGAGAGGAAAATAAAAACAACTGGTGGGCCTGCGTGTAGGGTACATGGGAGGTCTGTGTCCTATTCTCGCTCTTTTCCTATTATTCTGAATTGTGTCAAAATAAAATGTGACCAAAATAACTACAGAGTCGAGGAAAGTTGCGGCTCATCCTTCCTAGGACTCTACCAGACAGTCTAGATTGGTACTAACATAATCACATAAACACAGAGATGACAGAAGTGGAAACAGAGACAAAGAAAACGGGCATCGAGACTGAGCCTGCGCTTGGACTTTGGGCTGCTCTGCAGGGAGCCATCCTGGAATTTAAGGTTTGATCACCACACGTGGAAGTGCCCCTTAAGCAAAGGGGCTCAGGCCGGGCACAGTGCCTTACACCTGTGATCCCAGCACTTTGGAAGGCCGAGGCGGGTGGATCACTTGAGGCCAGAATTTCAAGACCAGCCTGGCCAACACGATGAAACCCTGTCTCTACTAAAAACACAAAAATTAGCCGGACATGGTGGCGGGTGCCTGTAATCCCAGCTACTCGGGAGGCTGAGGCAGGAGAATCACTTGAACCTAGGAGGTGGAGGTTGCAGTGAGCCAAAACTTTGCCTCTGCACCCCAGCCGCGGGACAGAGCGAGACTCTGTTTAAAAAAAAAGTGTGTGTGTGTGGGGGGGGTCTCAATAATTGACGAGGATGGCACTACCATCCTAACTGTTGAAGGTACTTAACAAAGGCACCAACTGTTCACTCTACCTTATCTCCACTTAGGCGGCCACAGGCCTCATTGATCCAGTGCCACAAATTAGCTAGAAAATACAAAGCAAAGATAAGGACTTTAGTTAGTATTGCCCACTTCTTTTTTTCTTAAATAAAGGTTATTATGTATATTTAAGGTATACAGCATGTTACAGCACAAATATAGATGGTAAAATGGTTACTATAGTGAAGCAAATTAACATACCCATCATCTCACTTAGTTACCCGTTTTTATGTGTGTGTGGAAAGACCTGCTACAATCTACAAATTTAGCAAAAACCCTGAATACGATACAGCACGATGAACTAGAGTCCCCACCGTACATTAGATCCCTGAGCAGCTTCCTCCATCCTGCACATCTGCTACTTCATATCTTTGACTCCCACCTCCCCATTTTCTTTCCCCCTACCCCCGGTACCACTGTTGTATTCTCTATGTCTGTATATTTGACCTTTTGGGGAGATTGCACATATAAGTGCAATAATTCTAGATTCTTCTTTCTGTATCAGGCTCAGTATTATGACCATTAGGTCAATTCAATATTATCTTTCAACTGTCTACTGCAAGTCTTCCAGTGAGCGCTCCTGGGAGTGAAAGCATTTAAAAATAAATCAACTGACTTAAAGGCTATGAAGGGCCAGGCACAGTGACTCATACCTGTAATCCCAGCACTTTGGGAGGACAAGGTGGGTGGATCACTTGAGGTCAGGAGTTCAAGACTAGCCTGGCCAACATGGTGAAACTATATCTCTGCCAAAAATACAAAAATTAGCCGGGCATGGTGGCACTCGCCTGTAATCCTAGCTACTAGGGAGGTTGGAGCCGGAGAATTGCTTGAATCGGGGAGATGGAGGCTGCAGTGAGCTGAGATCCTGACACAGCACTCCAACCTGGGCAACAAAGCGAAAACTCTGTCTCAAAAAAACCAAAAAATTAAAAAATACAAAATAAATAAAGGCTATGAAGCCATGTTACTCCTATCAAAAACAGAACTTCCTGTTCTATGCAAAGCAAAATATGATTCACTAATGTTTCAGTGACTACCTCTGGGCACACCTGGGGGCTGTCAGAGCTGCTGCTGTGATTACAGACATTCTCATTCTCCTAACAAGTTTTCTTTGACTATGAGGGACTAAGTTAGATATCATAGAAGAACAAAGAAAACATGTCTAGGAGACTGATTTTTCCAGTTAACTGGCTTGAATGTACTATAAAAGAAGGCAAACACAGAAAGCTAGGTGTCAGGCCCACTGAGTTCCAGCGTGCCCCAAGACGTTTTCCACTACACCTGGCTGCTTCTCAGAAGAAAGAAGAACATGTTCAAAAAGTATGCATCCACTCACTCTTACAGAAGCGATGAAACCTAAAAGGTTAAATCTATGAATTTTAAGAAATCTATGAATTTATATTATGCAAAGATACAATTTCATCCCATTTCTAATGAACATTTTATGTTGTTGTGCTCACTATAAAGACTAAAGTTAGGGTCATGCCCTGTGGCTCACGCCTGTAATCCCAGCACTTTGGGAGGCCGAGGCGGGTGGATCACGATGTCAGGAGTTCAAGGCCAGCCTGACCAACATGGTGAACCCCCTTCTCTACTAAAAATACAAAAATTAGCCAGGTGTGGTGGCACATGTTTGTAATTCCAGCTACTCAGGAGGCTGAGGCAGGAAAATCACTTGAACCCGGAAGGCAGAAGTTGCAGTGAGCTGAGATTGTGCCACTGCACTCCAGCCTGAGTGACAAAGCAAGACTCTGTCTTGACAACAACATAAAATGGTCATCACTCAAACATTGCTCAATGCTTAACACTGGCATCTGTAATCCCCATGTTTTCTCTTTAATTAGTCTTCTGGTTAGTGTTCCATTTGGCAATGTAATTAACGGTAAGAGAAGTAGCTATATATGCAGGGTCTCGTGAAGTCCAAGGGTGTGATATGGGAGAACTCATCAAATCACAGCAAGGCAAAGGAGGGTCATATAAACAAGAAAGCAATTGGGCTGGATGCAGTGGCTCATGTAATCCCAGCACTTTGGGAGGCAGAAGCCAGTGGATCATCTGAGGCCAGATCATCAAGACCAGCCTTGCCAATATGGTGAAACCCCACTTCTACTAAAAATACAAAAATTAGCCAGGCGTGGTGGCAAATGCCTGTAATCCCAGCTATTCGGGAGGCTGAGACAGGAGAATCACTTAAACCTGGGAGGCAGAGGCTGAGTGAGTCGAGATCGTGCCACTGCACTCCAGCCTGGGCAATATACCAAGACTCTGTCTAAAAAATAAACAAATGAGTAAGTAAATAAATAAGCGAGCAACTGAAAATGGAAAAGGATGGTGAAACAGCAGGTTTTTAATAGTCAAGTCAAAGAGAGTGGCTTGAATATTAAAGGATTAAGAGATATTCTTAGGAAATCTAGTGAAGCCTTGAATCCTTCCGTAAAAATTACGCATTCTTAGCTTTGTAGTCTAAAAGTTAAACATGACGTGATGTTTAAAGACACTAACAAATTTGCATGGAAAAATGATTCTCAAGAAACAGGGTAAGACTTGACTGTCCATTCTAAGAATAAGCACCCAAATTTTATTCAACATAACTTATTTTCATAATCTGAGACTTTTTTTGAGACAGAGTCTCATTCCGTCACCAGGCTGAAGTGCAGTGGCACGATCTCGGCTCACTGCAACCTCCACCTCTCAGGTTCAAGTGATTCTCCTGCCTCAGCCTCCCAAGTAACTGGGACTACAAGCACGCACCACCACACCCAGCTAATTTTTGTATTTGCAGAGATGGGGTTTCACCATGTTGGCCAGATGATCTCGATCTCTTAACCTCATGATCCTCCAGTCTTGGCCTCCCAAAGTACTGGGATTACACTTGTGAGTCACCGCGCCGGCCCTTTTTTTTACTTTTTTTGAGATGGAGTTTGGCTCTTGTTGCCCAGGTTTGAGTACCACTAGAGAGATCACGGCTCACCACAACCTCTGTCTCCCGAGTTCAAGTGATTCTTCTACCTCAGCCTCTCAAGTAGCTGGGATTACAGGCATATGCCATCATGCCTGGCTAATTCTGTATTTTTAGTAGAGATGGGGTTTCACCATGTTGGCTAGGCTGGTCTTGAACTCCTGACCTCAGGTGATCCACCCGCTTTGGTCTCCCAAAGTGCTGGGATGACAAGTGTGAGCCACTGCACCGGGCCGAGGTTCTTATTTCAAAGTAACACTCCAGTCAGTCATATTTAGATGATCCCCCCTACCGATCATCTAAATATTTTATATATACTTTAAATTTGTGCATTAAAAATTGATGTGTTCTAAGACAAATGCAAGCTCCTGTATGCGTGATGCTGTGTGGTCTATGCAACTTAAACACGGAGCTTACAAATCATCAGTTTCCTGAATGCCAGAATATTCTTGTTCCCTTATATACAACTGGTGGAATATTAGCTTTTTAAGGTTTTTGGAGTTTGGTTTCTTTTTGCAGAGAATGATAAAACATGTTTTGCTTTAGTTTAAGCAGATCACCACAGGCAGCAAGTGGACAATCTACACATCTTTCAAAGCATTTACCTGGAAATGTATCTCTTTTAAGATTAATTTGCAAAAACCACCATAGACACAATACCTGTGAGTGCTTTCCCTTTTTTCCTATAGTAAACACCAAAGATGATGGCAGCCACTAGGGCCACAGACGCGAAGAGAAGCAGAATTATTAAACCCGGCAAGAAAACCTGGGGTTCTGTATTGGAAGAAAATGAGAAATACGGTATTAAAGATTCTTTAATTTTATGCAGTTAAAAAAAAAAAAAAAACCCAGTAAATCAAACCTCAGAGTCAAGGATGTTGATCTAGGATGACAGAAGTGAAAGTCCCCACCCCTGGCTGCCCTTTGTCCACAAGCACTCACATTCTGAAGGGTAAAATCCACAGTGTCAGCCAGCCCCATTCAGTCCAGTTTCACTCTATGGGAGGCCAGCCCATGCCATTATGATATTTCTACCTTAGAACAACTCTAATTATGCTCACCATGCCACCCACTCTCATTTTGGCTAACCTTCAGAACCCTTCACTATCCCCAGATGACTCTGCAAACAAAAGGAGCTCCTTCTGTGTCTTTCCTAATAGCCGCAGGGCACCAGGGGTTTGGCGGTAATGAGAACAGAACTACAGCCATCCTATGAAATATTTCAGTAATTTTCATCCACAACACCATGTGGACCCAACCGTCTTCTTCAGCCCTCCTTGATTACTTCGTTGCTAGAATCCTTGTGTTAAAAACTCTTGATTTACTTGATCTGGTTTCCTGGACTCCTACTTTTCCTCTCCTTCTCTTTTTTCTTTTTTTTTTTGAGACGGAGTTTCGCTCTTGTTACCCAGGCTAGAGTGCAATGGCGCGATCTCGGCTCACCGCAACCTCCACCTCCTGTGTTCAGGCAATTCTCCTGCCTCAGCCTCCTCAGTAGCTGGGATTACAGGCACGCACCACCATGCCCAGCTACTTTTTTGTATTTTTAGTAGAGACGGGGTTTCACCGTGTTGACCAGGATGGTCTCGATCTCTTGATCTCGTGATCCACCCGCCTCAGCCTCCCAAAGTGCTGGGATTACAGGCTTGAGCCACCGCGCCCGGCCTCTCCTTCTCTTTTTTAAAATAACTTATTCCTTCAGTTATTTTTAATGTTATCTGCCAAGTGGTCTTTTAAAAAGTCTGCTCTGATTGTGCAACTCCACATCCAGAATGCTCTAAGGTCTTCCTATTTCCCCATATGTCAAGCCTAAACCCCTAATTTCTCTGTCAAAGCCTGTTAACCCAGTTATCCTGTGGCCTATGTTCTTTTACCTCATCAGAAAGGTCTCCTTGCCACTTAAGCAGTCTCTTCCAATAGCTGCACCCACACCTCCACACTGTCCTGCTCACCAAATAACCAGCCTCCACGATCAACTTTATGGCAATCTGAAACTTTACTTAAGATTAATTTAATCTACAATGTGTCCCATAGATGACAGCTAGATCCTAACAGTTTTCGGAGACTACCAAAATCTCCTCATAGACACCCTCACTGTGACCACCATCATCCCACCAAGTCTGAGCATTTTAATTTATGTTTGCAGCTCTATTTTTTTATGTATATTAATACATTGTTAGCTATCCCAGATCCAGCATAGGAAATTATCAAGGAAAGAGTATACCTGGAATTAAAATACTGATTAAAATGGGGTATCACGCTGACCATGTGCAGGATGAAATACCGGGGGAGATGACCCCTCCAGATCCAGGTGCCTTCTGGGAGGGATCTAATCAAGTTGACTACCCCAGGCACATCTATCAACCAACAGGCTCTTTTTAAACATACCATTTGGTGGTTTTCTGAATGGCAGAGAAGAACTGCAAATCACATCGGATTTCTCTGTCCCATGATGTTCTACTTTCTTTCCAAGCACGGTACAGCTGTGGGGGAAAAGGTAGTTATGTGCTTTGGTTTTATATGCTTCTTTTTTAAAAAAGTGAACAAATGCAAGACTCTCCCAGTTTGCCAGCTCCTTCAGGAGAGGAATCCATGCCTTCTTGGACGTTTGAGTCCCCAGTGCCTTCCACTGACGTTTGAGTCCCCAGTGCCTCCCACTGACGTTTGAGTCCCCAGTGCCTCCCTGTCCACAGGGAAGACATCACAACGGGGGACAAACAAGTAAACAAAAGCAAACACTGCCCGTGTTCTCTGACAGCTACTCTGAGAGCATGGTCAGCAAAGGAGCAGAGCAGAGAGTCTTCAGAAAACAATATTCTGGCTATGCACAGTGCCTCAGGTCTGTCATCGTAGCACTTTGGGAGGCTTAGGCAAGAGGATTGCTTTAGCCCAGGAATTTGATACTAGCCTGGGCAACATGATGAGACCCTGTCTCTATCAAAAATTGAAAAATTAGCTGGGTGTGGTATACATGCCTGTGGTCTCAGCTACTGAGGAGGCAATGGCGGGAGGACTGTTTGAGCCCAGGAGGTTGAGGCTGCAGTGAACCATGTTTGTACCACTGTACTTCAGCCTTGGCAACAGGGCAGGATCATGTCTCAAGAAAAATAAAAAAGAATATTCCAATAGCTTCAACTACATAGCTAAGTGATACACTTTTGCTGATTGCTCTTTTGAAAAACACAGAAAATCCTCTTGAACATAAAATCTGGATAAGTGAATCAGAAAATAAACATTTATTTATGTATTTCAATTTTCATTGTTTAAAAATGTGAGATAGGGTCTTGTCCAGGCTGTGTTGTCCAGGCTGCTCTCAAACTTCTGGACTCAAGCAATCCTCCCGCCTCAGCCTCCTGAGTAGCTGGGATTACAGGCATGTACTACCATGCCCAGCAGAAAATAAACATTTAATAAGAAATATACAGGGAACTGACGGAATCATTACATTGATAAAAGTAATCAGCAAGAGGCATGCGATGAAAGGACCCATGAATTCCGCTGTAGATATACTCAAATACATGAGGAATCATACATATCTGAGATACTTCATTACAAAATTATGTATTACTGTAAAAGACTGGTAACAATCTAAGTGACTATCAATAAAGAACTTATTAAATAACTTATGATACACCTCTACAATGAAATATTACATAGCTGTGAAAAGCCATGAAGATCTAATGAACTGGTGGACTGATATAGAAAAAGCTTCAGGATATATATGTATATATATTTTGGAGACGTTTTGCTCTTGTTGCCCAGGCTGGAGTGCAATGGCATGATCTCGGCTCACTGCAACCTCCATTTCCCGGGTTCAAGCAAATTCTCTGCCTCAGCCTCCCTAGTACCTGGGACTACAGACACGTGGCACCAAACCTGGCTAATTTTTTGTATTTTTAGTAGAGATGAGGTTTCACCGTGTTAGCCATGATGATCTCAATTTCCTGACCTCGTGATCTGCCTGCCTCGGCCTCCCAGAGTGCTGAGATTATAGGCATGAGCCACTGTGCCTGGCCTGTTTCAGAATATATTATATAAGAAAAAAAAAAAAAAAAACACCCAAGACGTTTGCAGCATGCAAACATTTATACAAACTGGAGGCTTCTATATGTACATACACAAATATCTGGATGTATGTATCAGTGATGCTGGGAAGCCAGAAAAAGTAGGAGTGACCCCTGAATGATAATAAAGCATTCTAAATCATTTCAACAAACAAGGTTAGAAAAAGCTCCACCCATAAGTCATGGGTTACCAAATCTAAAAAGTCACATGAAGTTCCTGTCACACATAGGGCTAAAGAATGAGTTTGACTGGTTTATTTTCCCCATGCTGAATTGACAGACTTTTTCCATTTTGAACCTGGCTTCAAGAGGAAGCCTAACCCAACAGAATCCGTCTGTTTTCAACTCAGAGGAGACAGTGGAGGTTGAGTTGTTGAAAACCCAACCATCTCTTCTGACTCCTTGGCTGTCGCTTACTTGGTCCAGGGTCTGCATTTGTCCGTGGAGGAAAAGGCGTCTGAGAAGTAGCCTGCGAGGCAAGGTTTGCACACTGTGTCCTTGTTGACCTGCACTGTGAAAAAAAGAAAACCCAGAAAGAACACACAAAAACAAACGAGGTCACTTAGAGATCATCCAGGAGACCCCTGTGTCTAATTCCTTCAGCTCCCACAGGCTCGGGCCCGCGAAGCAGTTCTGACCCCAGCAGTGAGTTATGGAACCTGGCTCAGTGTCAGGCCACTAACATTGGTATGTGATGTCCAGGCCGGGCTAGCTCTGGTCCTGACCTTCTGTTGTTTGGAGTCACTTCTCTGGTCACCAACACTTTTTTTTCCTAGTCTGGGAGCTGGTGTTGACTGCTCCTCTGTCTGCCTCTTGCTTTCCCCCACGCACCTGCCAGCTAGCCCAGGCTTTGTCTGCAGGGAATGGCAGACCCGTTACTGCTTTGAAGGGAGACTCATTGTCCTGACCTCTTCTGATGAGCTTAATCTCTTCAGTCCAACTATTAGAGTGTCAACAAAATTTTGTCAGTTAAAAAAAGAAGAGGAGGGGGCCGGGTGCAGTGGCTCATGCCTGTAATCCCAGCACTTTGGGAGGCTGAGGCAGTTGGATCACAAGGTCAGGAGATCGACAACATCCTGGCTAACATAGTGAAACCCTGTCTCTACTAAAAATACAAAAAGAATTAGCTGGGCGTGGTGGCATGTGCCTATAGTCCCAGCAACTTGGGAGGCTCAGGCTGAGGCAGGAGAATCACTTGAACCCAGGAGGGCGGAGGTTTCGATGAGCGGAGATTGTGCCATTACACTCCAGTCTGGGTAACAAGAGTGAAATGCCATCTCAAAAAAAAAAAAAAAAAAAAAAAAAAAAGGAGGAAAAGCCCTGCAGGTCTCTTTTCCTGCAACCAAGGGTTGGTATCAAACATTTTCTATAAAGGGTCATAGAGTAAGTATCTTAGGCTTTGCAGGCCTATGGTCTCTGCATGAAAGCAGTCCAACAATACATTAAAAACAAGAGATGAGGGTGTGTTCCAATAAAACTTTACTAATAAACACAGTGGTGCAATGGATGTTGGACCCCTTCCTTAATGGACAGTGTTGAAAGCAGAAGCTGATCCTGGTTAGTAAACTGACTTGACTCTCATATTCCTCATGAACTACACTGTCAAAATAAAATGTCAGGTTTCTTGTGCCTGTTACCTCCACTGCAATCCACACATGATGACCCTTTGGTAAGTCCCATGAAGAACATTGGCTACTATGTGATATCATCATCAGGCAACTGGCTGATGCCCAAACCACAAATTACTCCTAAAATTGGTAGCACTTCTGTGATTTACTTTCATGAACAAAACGCTAACATAAGGAATTAAATTTTCTTTGTCCAAAGTCAAGTAGGAAGTATGTTCTTGATTTCTGCAATTTGGCTGGCTAAGTAGAGTACCTGCTCTTTCATCTGGCAATTTGATTTGTCTTAAATCCTTATTAAGAAGAGCCCAGTTAACATCTAATAACTCACATTAATTTGGATAGCTTTTTAAAAGATAATCACAATCTAGAGTTGTAAGAAGCTCTCAAAATCAAACGGTGGGAGGGGGGCGGGGGCTAACAGGCATACCAAGGGTTAAGGGCGTTAATTTCCATAGCTTGACTTCCATAAGACTCTTAGTAACACTGATCTGCCAGAAACATCGTGCAGGCTCCTTTCCTTGCTCCCTTTCATAATCACATTTTTCTCACTTTACAAAAGATATACTTCACACGAACCCCAAATGCTGCTATGCTACCAAACCTCTGAGATGCTGAACAAAGTGACCAACAGAGACGCTGGTGATGGCACAGCTCCCACCTTTCGCTCTCTATTAAGGGCAAAAGGAGGACAGCAGAAATGGGGCAGCTGGGATCAGGCTGAGTGGTTCTGAATTCAAATATACCTCAGGGTGGGGTAGCAGTGAAATTTCCATTCATCTACCCCTTCCCCTCTACCCTCTGCCTATTTTGTCCGAAAATGAACCTATTTCTAAAGGTGCAAGGCAGAGAGAATGTCTATCAGAACCTCTGATGTGACATGCTGGTGAAAACCTGGAGGAAAGTCTCCAGGCCTCTTTTATTTTAGAATCAGAATTCAGAGGGAGTTGGCTGTGATAGGGAGATCTATTTTAACAATTAAAAAAATCAAGTCAGACTTTTTCTAAGAGAAAGCACATCTGGTTTAGTCAATGCATTTGATAGTAAAGATTGACTGTCTCAGACTCTGTGATGGACATTTTCGTTGATATGAATTGACATGAATAATATTAAAAAAAAGGAAAAAAAAAGAAATGAATAATATTTTAATTCTCCCAGCCCTGTCCAAGATTTTGGGTTAAAACCAGGTACTTCGAAGGGAATGATTAACAGTTATAAATAATCATTTGCTAAGTCTTAGAAAAAACTGCTTTTGTTATACTTCCTAGAAGTCGGGAAAGCAAATGACTTTAAGAAATACTTTTTCAAGTCAAAACAATTTCTATTTCTTTACTTTCAACAAATTGAAGAAGACAATTGAATTCTCAACTGATAGATTATTAAAAATAACTTCTGATATCACATCAGTAGGTGAGCTTGGACACATAAATCAGAAGGTACTGAAAAAAATTGAGGACATACCTGTAACAAAAGTATTTCTTTAGCCATTCAGTTATCTATGTGAACAAATTTCTCAGCACTTATATATATATATATATATATATAAACAAAAAGTAGAAACAGAATTGATGTTGAATGCTGGTGCATGTTAGCAATAAGTAATACTCAGTCACAAATATGTGGATTGGAAAAAAATCTCACTCATGGAGGTCAAAAGTTTTTACTTTTATGATTATAATACAGCAAAATAGGATATATTCATTTTTGACCAATTGTGTGATAATAAATGTAGTGACAACTTGGTCCAGGAGAAATGTTTTTAACCCTGAGTCAAAGTAAATTTTTTAAAACTCAGATTTCAAATACATACATATTTTTCAATAGGTGCATATTCAAATATGTAAAGGAATCTGAAAATGTGATTAGTAAAACCCCTCCAAGCATAAAAAATTCTATCAGGATAAAATTCTGTGGGGAAGGTGGAATGGATAGGAAATCAAAGGAGAGAAAGGAACTATGTAAATTGTCCAATAGTTAAATATGATTTGCTCATTTAATAATGAATCATGGTGGACATCAAATGGCCATGGTGTTTAGATTCCACTGAATTCATTTCTTCAGTGTTGTCCCAGTTATAGTTCCCTGGTAACTAGGACCCTATCAATTCTTTTTTTTTGAGATGGAGTCTCATTCTGTCACCCAGGCTGGAGTGCAGTGGCACCATCTCGGCTCACTGCAACCTCTGCCACCTGGGTTCAAGCAATTGTCCTGCCTCAACCTCCCGAGTGCTGGGATTACAGGAGAGCACCACTGAGCCCAGCAAATTTTTCTGTGTTTAGTAGAGACGGGGTTTCACTATCTTGGCCAGGCTGGTCTTGAACTCCCGGCTTTGTGATCCACCCGCCTCAACCTCCCAAAGTGCTGGGATTACGGGTGTGAGCCACCACGCTCAGCCTCAATTCTTTAAACTTGTAATAAAAATTTAAAGATGTCAACTTTAAAATGTGCTGGGGTGGGAGATGGATGGTTTTTCTGAAATTCTAATGGCTGTACATTTTTTAAAAAGCCCAATGGCCCCCGCTCTATCCTGTTGGCTCCTAAGTGGGGATTCCAGGTTTCCACAGATGGAGGAGCCCCAGCACCCCACGGCCGTGGCCAGAGCACGTGGGCATTTTACCCACAGTCCCTTTGAAGAACCTAAGCTGGGGATTCATTCTCAGGTCTTGCCTGGACCTGCATCTTCTGGAAAATCAGCCCCACCCCCCACCCCCCAGGTTCCTCCAAAGCTGCCTAGCACCCTGGAGCATTCTTGCTGCTGTGATTAAAACTGTCTCAAAGCTGGCTTTGCATGGCTCAGCAAGAGCCGACAGACACACACATCCAACCCGTACATGGGTGCTGGGCGCCCAGGCCTGGCGCACACTCGGTGTTGCGGCGGCAGCACTCGCAGTCCTGGCTCCAGTGGTACCCGGACGTGCAGGTACAGCGCCGGGGGGCCGTGCTGTTGCCGATGTCCACAGCTACCAGGGCCTTGCCTGCGGGAGACAAGAGACAGGTCAGCGGCCAGGGAGGAGCAGGCAGCCCAGACACACCACCCATGACTGCCATGTCCAACATCCAGCTCAGAGCGGCCCAGACCAGCAGCCCGCCTGGCGAGCTTGCAGAGTGAATCACCAGGACACTGCTGGAAGAGCCTCAAGTTCCTCCTCATGCTTCCTGCACTGGCACGAAAGCGTCACAATGGGGTTCTTCTCTGTCTCATAATTAACAGTTTTGTGGGCTTTTTAAAAAAGTCAGTTTTCATGTTAGTAGGAAGATAAGGAATTGGGAATTGATCACTGAATGTTTTGGCAAATAGAAGGGTCATGGAGTTGGGCTTCCTTGTTTTTGGTAAATTCAAATGCCATATGGGTAAGACTAACGCTAGTTTGGACCTAAGAGAACAGGGCTTCTGGAAGTTTAGGATTCATCTTAGGATCCCGAGGCGTCCCAGGGTGAAAACAGGTTGTTGTGGAGTGCCATGAGTGAAGGGGGTACAGAGGCAGCCCGGTGACAGGCTTGCAGTCAGACTCTCCTCAAGCACCCAGGATAACACTTTTGTCTCTATTTTCACAACACACAGCCTTCTCATTCCAAGTCTCCTGGCCCTTTCCAGTTTTTCTGGAACACAGGTACCTGGAAATTGATCTGCTGTAAACCACACACACACACACACACACACACACACACACACACAAACACTTATAAACTGCATACACACACAAATATGAATCAAATTATTGATATAGTCGGTCCTCATTATTTGCAGATTCATATTTGTGAATTCACCTACTCGATCAAATTTATTTGTACCCCAAAATCAATCCCCTTGGTACTTCTGCAGTCCTTCGGGGACAGAACCGTGTACATTTTGAGTTACCACACACGCAGATTTCCGACTGAGGTTCGGCCAGGTGATGCTCTGCCTTCTGGTTTCAGCTCACAGAAGGTAAACAAGCTTTTTGTTGGTGATTTCCCTGCTTACAACAGCCCCCAGCTGTCATGCTGAAGAGCTGTCTAGTGTTCTAAGTGCAAGAAGTTTGTGATGTGCCTTACGGAGAAAATAAGTGTCAGAGAAGCTTTGCTCAGGTATGAATTGCAGTGCTGTTGGCCATGAGTGCATTGTTAATGAATTGGCAACACGTATCAAATAAGGTGTCTTTAAACAGAAACACACATAAAACAAGGTTATGTGGCAATCAATCCATGACAATGTGACTGGAGGCTTGCAGGAACCTCACCCAGTAATTCCCTAGGAGTAATGGCTCAGGATTTGCTAATTCAGTGTTTGTGGTGACTTTATAGAACATAGCCACTGTGCATAACCAGAGTCAGCTGCACATAGTGCATGACCCTGCCCCCCAACATGATACAAAACAATAACATTATTTAAAACAGAACTTGTACCCTTCTAGGACTCCTTCTCACCTGGATTGTCCAAACAGCCCGTGCACCTTATATTCCTGAATACTTATAGGAATTCCAAGGGGAAAAAACCAAGGGAAAATTCCAAGCAAACAAACCAGAAACCTGCTCTCTCTTATTGTCTCAAGTTTCAGCCAGTGGGGAGGGGACATTTCCTATTTCCAATCTTTTTAGACCCAAGCTAGTGACCCTGGAGAAGCCCCCATTCCCTGCAGTGTCTACCCTTCCAAGGCCCCAGTCAGCTCTGCAACATCAAGACCAATATGTAGACACGTGTCCACAGACACAGGCCACTTCTCTGGAAAATTCCAAATACTCCTAGGATCCCATCGAAATGTAAGCCTGGGTGGGTGGTGATGAAAAATTTTGACGTAATTTAAAATATTGTATGTAATGTACCACATTTTTTACTTTAATCAACTTTGGCATTAGACAGAATGAATCTTTATTTCCAAGAGACTGTAGTGAGTCAAGGTCATTACTAAGCAGTGGGAAATAAAAAAGATTTGATCAGATGCTTCTGCTCAGCAGTTTCCACGTTACCTTCTCCAGCCAAAATCTGCCAGCTGTCTCCAGCACATTAGAAAAATATGGTGTTTAAAGAAACACGTATGATCTGATTCTGTCCATTGGGGGGAAAAACCCCTATACACAAAGGTCAATGCAGTAGTGAGTCTTCTCTAGAATCCAGACTGAGGTCACTAAATAAAATGTTCCTTTAAAAACAATCAGGAATCCTTAGAGAAACATCTGATTGTAGTTTAAGACAGAATTACTCAAGGTAAGCATGGAAGTAGTAGAGTTCTTCATGATGCCTGGGCTGTATCAAAACCCATCGGGTCACCTCATAGAAGTGTGACGATCTGAGCACCATTACAACCAGTTACTGTAGGCTGGCACCATGGCTCATGCCTGTAATCCCAGCACTTTGGGAGGCCGAGGCAGGTGGATCACTTGAGGTCAGGAGTTTGAGACCAGCCTGGTCAACATGGCAAAACTTCATCTCTACTAAAAATACAAAAATTAGCTGAGCGTGATGGTATGTGCCTGTAATCCCAGCTACTGGGGAGGCTGACACAGGAGAACAGCTTAAATACAGGAGGCAGAGGTTGCAGTGAGCCGAGATTGTGCCACTGCATTCCAGCCTGGGTAACAGACAGAACGAGACTCCATCTCAAAAAAAAAAAAAGATACATAAGGGATAGAAGAATACATTAAATGATACCAAGGGAATGCAGCCAACAAAATCCGGCCTGTGGAATCTCCACAGGACTAACATCATGGCTCCCTCAACAAATAAGCTCAATAGAAAAAGGAGAGAAGAGAGAGAAAGGAACCTCTGTCTCTTAAGAGATTAAGAGACATATTTTGCTCCTGATTCCCATGAATAAACTATACTTTAAAAAACATTCCTAGCATTTGACCCAGCAGTCCTATTACTGGGTATATATCCAAGGATTATAAATTGTTCTATTATAAAGACACATGCGCATGTATGTTCATTGCGGCACTGTTTACAGTAGCAAAGACCTGGAACCAACCCAAATGTCCATCATCGATAGACTGGATAAAGAAAATGTGGCACATATACATCATGGAATACTACACAGCCATAAAGAACGGTGAGTTCATATCCTTCATGGGGACATGGATGAATCTGGAAACCATCATTCTCAGCAAACTGACACAAGAACAGAAAGCCAAATACCGTATGTTATCACTCATAGGCGGGTGTTGAACAATGAGAACACGTGGACACAGGGAGGGGAGCATCACACACTGCGGTCAGTAAGGGGGAAATAGGGGAGGGGCAGCAGGGGTGAGGAGGGTGGGGAGGGATAATGAGAGGAGAAATACCAGATATAGGCGATGGGGAGGATGGAGGCAGCAAACCACCTTGCCATGTATGTACCTATGCAACAATCCTGCATGATCTGCACATGTACCCCAGAACCTAAAATACAATTAAAAAAAAAAAAAAAGGTTCCTAGGCCAGGCTCATGCCTGTAATCCCAGCACTTTGGGAGGTCAAGGTGGGTACATCACGAGGTCAGGAGATTGAGACCATCCTGGCCAACATGGTGAAACCCTGTTTCTACTAAAAAATATACAAATTAGCCAGGCGTTGTGGCATGCACCTGTGGTCCCAGCTATTTGGGAGGCTGAGGCAGGAGAATTGCTTGAACCTAGGAGGTGGAGGTTGCAGTGAGCTGAGATCATGCCACTGAAGTCCAGCCTGGGCGACAGAGCAAGACTCCACCTCAAAAAACAAAACAAAACAAAAACTCTTCCAGGCAAAAAACTTAAGGCAGTCTGCTAAGAAGATCAAACTGTGTTAATAAAATATTTATAGTTTAGGAAAAAGGTGAAGAGTAGATCTGGTTTTGAGTCCTGCTTCATATGTGTTAACCTTGGAGACGTTACTCAACCTTTCCGAATCTCAGTTTTGCAATCTTTAAAAGGGGTAAGTATGGCTACCTACAGGGCTTCAGGGAGGATTAAACCACACAAAATGGGTGGGAACATTATGGAAACATTATGTCAACTCTAAGATGTGTCCCATGATTAAACTGCAACATAAGTATATTCCAGAATAAATGTTCTAAATGAAGAATTTTAGCACAGTCCTTGGGGATCTAAAACGCATCTTTCTTGGGATCTGTAGTCACTTATTTCCGTGTTGCTGAAACGAAACACCATTGGCTGCCTCTAAAAATATTTCTATAGAAAGAGATCTTAGTTTTCTACACTTCTCACTGACACACTGACACGATGGGCTTACCTGTATCACAAACTTTATGCAGCAAGCATTTATCTTCTTCATTCCAGGTATCCAAGTATTCATCTGGGCCACAGGGCAGACATACACTGTCGGAGTTAGTAGTGCATTTAGAAGACATGTACTTCCCTTAAAAAAACGAAGAGGAAAAATGCAACCATTAAAAAACCTAACAATGACAGCAACACAAAGCAAAACAGCAACAAAAATCGCACCCATCTATAGGACCAATAATCACCCAGGAAGCCCCCCAAAGATGACATGGCACAGGAGAAGAGGCCACGCTGTACAATGACTGCAGTACCCTGGGCTCCTCAGGCCACTCAGCTGGCTGAAATAACCTCTCCTGGGTCTGCTGAGCCTGTGGTCACAGCAGTCTCTTCATTCTTCTAAGTAAAAAGCCAGCCACCCTCTGCACCCAGTCTGCTAAGGAATAGAATGATGGGCAGGGCGTGGTAGCTCATGCCTGTTAATCCCAGCATTTTGGGAGGCTGAGGTGCGCAGATCACCTGAGGCCAGGAGTTTGAGAGACCAACCTGGCCAACATGGTGAAACCCATCTCTACTAAAAATGCAAAAATCAGCCGGGTGTGGTGGCTCATGCCTATAGTCCCAGCTTGGAGGCCGAGGCAGGAGAATCACTTGAACCCGGGAGACGGAAGTTGCAGTGAGCCGAGATTGTGTTACTGCACTCCAGCCTGGTGACAGAGCTAGATGCTGTATCAAAAAAAAAGTAGGCATAAAATGATGATTCTAAACTGGGCCCTGCAGAACTCGAAAGATTCCCTGGAACCCACTCAGGGAATAAGGGGTAGGCAAGAGGAGCTTCATTACCCATCCCCCTCCCCTCTTCCTTCCATCTGGATAGGTAACTTCCTGTTAACTTCTTCTACACACACTACTGGCTCATGGTTGGCTTCGTCTGACCAAGTGTCACGCCGTGCCCCATCGCCCCATCCAACACACACTTGAAAATCACTGGATCTTGGTTCTGCACATCCAAGAAATATTTGTAGCTGAAATATCCCAAATATCTTTTTATAAGGTAACCCGCCTTTGCGCCCCACCCCCACCCTGAATGATGAGAGAGTGGACCGCGCGGACTGTGGATTTCACTGGGGCTGAAGAAAGGCTTAGTCACATTTGTGGCAGAACAACTTGGGGTAGGTGGCAGCCAGTCCACCTTCTGCTCCTCAACAGGTTTATGAAAAAAGGTACGACAAGGGTTTAGGCAATTTTTAGGAGCAACAATTCCAGCTTGGTTATTCCCAAATAAAATTTCTATGAAAACAATTTTAAATAAGAGCTGCATTTCACATTTTGAGAGTTTGAATCATAAAGGGCTAAAATATTAGTTTTTAAAAACTCCTTGCCGTCTCGAGAAATAGTGTTTTGGAAAATTGTGTTTCAGCACAAATTAAGCAACCGCTTTTGAAGTTGTTTTTGGTTTTTTAAAGGATTTTAAAATCCCCTCAAATCTCTCTCTATTGAGAGAAAGATTTTTGTCTTCAGAGTGACAGACATTACCACCTGCCACTACCATAAAGAGTCTGTCCAAATTCTTTTTTCATCTGGCAGACAGAAAAAATAACAATGAAAGCCTCACCCACTTTTGAGGGACAATGCAAGGTGGCCCAGAAGCAGGTGTACCTGGTTCACATTTGCTACAGCACCGTCCCAGACGCTCATAATGCCTCTCACTGGTACACGGAGGAGCGATCTGCAGAGCCACCTGCAAAGAACACGGAGGTCAGGCAGAGACTGCACACAGCTCTTTCTGGATAAAACAAAAAGTGAATCACCAGATTACCTTTTTTGTGAGACAGTCTCACTCTGTCGCCCAGGCTGGAGTGCAGTGGCGTGATCTCGGCTCACTGCAACCTCCACCTCCCAGGTCAATTGATTCTCCCGTCTCAGCCTCCTGAGTAGCTGGGATTACAGGTGCCCGCCACCACACCTAGTTAATTTTTGTATTTTTAGTAGAGACAGGGTTTCACTATGTTGGAGAGGCTGGTCTCAAACTCCTGACTTCTAATGATCTGCCCACCTTAGCCTCCCAAAGTGCTGGGATTATAGGCTTAAGCCACCGAGACTGATCTGCTTGCCTTTCAATGTGTTAAACATGCAGAGAATTTTAAAAAGCAGGAAGAGCAAGGCGTTGCAGAGGCTTCCTGGGCTCTGCCCTCCCTACCTGTTCCCTGAGGGACTGCAGGAGCTGTTTAAACTTCCTCAGCCTCTGGTTCCCATTTGGTTCAAAAGGGTATGATTCTAAGACAAAAACCAATTTCTGACTCTGCCCATCTGAGTAAAACAAAAGAAAACAAAGCAGCCCAGGCGCCTACTATCAACCAGAGATTCTTATCAGTTTGCCACAGAAAAACTCTTTTCCTCATCAGCATTCTTGGTGTGAGAAAAAAATAACAAACACTCCTGTTGACAAGCAGTCATGTTAGAAACTGGAGAGCCGGGCTTAGCTGAATAGACATCCAGGTATGCATGCCACACTTGCAATTCATGCAAGTTCTCTGCTGCGTCCTGGAATACAGAGAACCAAACCTTCCCCTCAAGGGGCTTAGAGTGGAATGAAAACACAAACCAGGCTAGGTGCTCCCAGGGAGGCAGATGGGCCCTACCTCAGCAGAAGTAGGAAGGAAGCAGAAGCCGCCCAGGAAGGCTTCCCAAGGGAGGTGGTAAGTGATCAGCCTTCCGGGACACACAGAAACCAGCCAGATCAGGAAACAGAAACTTCAGGGGGAGGTAGCGGGAGGATGTAGGAAGACTTTGGACAACAGGAACAGTTGAAACAGGGGCAATGAGGCCTGAAGCAGCTCTTGGGGGTAATAAGAGACCTTCAGTCCAGCTGGAGCCCAGTGTCACAAAGGCAGTCTGGGGAGGGCTTCATCTGCACGTGAAAGTGCTCGGATGGAGGGCGCAGAGATAACCTGGGTTGGAAGAAGCCATGCATCCTCAAAACACCTCCATTAAAGAAGAAGGCAGGTTTATAAAGAAAGCACCAAACCCAGGAAAGCCCAGGCTAGCTGAGTGGGTGTGGGGGACGCAAAGCCATCATGGACCTCTTTGACCTCGCCCTGATCAGCAAAGGCTTATGAGGAGGCTGAGGTCCATGAGAAGGTCCCAGTGTGCTATTGGGGTGATATATGCCAGGAAGGCTGACTTGGACTTGCTTCCTGTGCCCACCTAACATTCCCCATGGACACCAGGTAACACACATCAGATGCTCCCCATGTATTCAGTGGGTGACAGTCTTAGGACACTGCATGGAGCGCAGTGGAATGAGGAAGTATGGCTTAAAAGAAACCACCACATCTCTCCCTTCTGATGTGTTTTTCTCTGTTTTAGATGCCACCCTTCTCTGTCGCCCTCTGTGTGTAATGTATGTGCACAGAAGAAAGAGGCAAAGTGGTAAAACTGCACGCAGCCACGCAAACTGGGTCAAAAAGCAGGATTCATCTGAGCCTAAGGACTCGTGAGCACTGCTGCAATGCTGATGACAAGGGCAAACAGGGTAAATATGAGGTGGGGCTGTATTTCAGATGACAAAGGGCATTAAGTGCTTCTAACCCCTAAGGGGGCAGCCACAGACTCAGTAAAATGAGCACATACTTTGGGTTACACATATAGAAAGGTACTTTTTAGGGGAATTTGGTAAATGGAATACCCCTGAAATAGCCGCTTAGGGACACTGTCAGATGTCACAGCTGTGTCCCGGGCTCCAAGCCCTCCTGCCTATTGAGTGTATCTGACTGAACATGGTAGGCAATTCGCTCCATGTTTATGGGGATGGCTGTGATTCATTCGACCCACCTAGCCTGTAACCCAGGAGCTTTACACCTCTTCAAAGAAACAAGGAAGTCGCTCCTTCCAGAAATGACCAGTTGCCCTGACCTTTATAGATTTTCACAGATATAAAATCCATTTCTCTCTCCTAAGCTTCTATCTCACTGTGACTTTTTAACCTAAATATACCTTTTTCCCCAAAAAAAAAACTGAGGTGTAATTCCCGGACTGTGAAATTAAACCTTTTAAAGTATACCTACCGTTCAGTGGTTTTTAGCACTTTCGCAAGGTTGAACAACCATCACAGCTATCTAATTCCTGAACATTTTCATCACCCCAAAACTGACACGTCTACTTGACAGAGCGATAGGATTACAGATCTTTTAAGCAGCAACAGAAATTTTGGTGCTGGGAAAATTGCTATGGTGAAGCAGAAAATTATGCTTTTAATCTCATTTAGGGTCAGCTTAAGCAGAAACCTACTTCGTTCTCTAGTTACATGATATACTTTGAAGTATACCTCCAAACCTTCAACATGGCAATATACATACAACTTAAAAGGCCACATACGTACATATATTTAAGGAAATGCGGTTTGCGGGTAAGTAAAAGAAATCTGGAAAACCCTTTAGGTTGCTGGTGCATGCAAAACACAAAACGTGCTTTGATTGTGCCTTTTCCTCTTGCTTCCTGGCTCTCTGCTTCCAAGGTTCTTTCCCTCCCTTTGCAGACCCTTTTCCTCCCCAGACCTCATATAGCCTGTAAAGCACACCCTGTGCTGTCTCGTTCTAATCTCGTGCCCCAGTTCCAGCAACGAATGGCCTGGTGACCGTGCCTGCAGCCCAGTGCTTGTAACTGTCAGGAAATCCAGCTTCTGAGACTCCAGCCTGTCTTGCTTTGCCAGGTACCTGAGGACTGACTGACTTGTTCCTCAATGCTGCAGGCCAGGCTGGCTCTAACCTTGTTCCTGACCCCCGCGTCTGTCCTGAGTCCCACATGCTTGTCGTCTGTGGACTGTGCTGGATCTGTTTCCATATACCAGTCTCCCTCTACCTGGATGGCCTGTCACATTCATCCTCTTGAGTGTCATTTTTTTGTGTGCATGAATGAATGAGTGTCCCTGCCTCTCCCAGTCTGACTTCTCATTTTGCCTACAGGATTCTGGTTCTGATGTCTACTATTTCACTACTAACTGCCCTGCCAGCCAGCAGCTGGCAAGAACCTGAAGATGGCTCCAGACCCTCTTGGCAGTGGCCCTTCTGGGCTTTGGCCCTTCCCTTTCACCTGCCCAGAACTTCAGCCAGACTCTATCCTCCAAGACCAAGCTCCCCATGGTTGCAAAGTGGTAGCTATTATTATTGGTAGCAACCGTAGTAAAGCAACAATTTGATAAAAACATGTTCCTGCTTGAGTGTTCTTAAGGAATCTCCCAGTGAATGGGGGAATTTGGGCATAAGGCTCCAGATCTTCAGTTAATAGAGTGATTTTGTCAGCCACTTACAGTCACCTCTCTTTCCCAAACAGGCAGCAAGGAAAAGCCTTGATGACTGAGTTGAGATGTACAGGCTTTTATTTACTAAGATTTTTCTAGTTGACTATTGATAGAGTCAAAGCTTTTGAATCCCAGTTGTTTTGATGACGTATACAAAGCAGAAATACTTTAAAAATGTTTATTCATTGAATAGGGAATGTAATATAGTCCATGATACAAAATTCAAAACGAACAACAACTTGTTTAGAAAACTCTATGCCGCTCTCTCCCAGCCATAGGTAACCCATGTTACCAGCCATTTTGGGGGGGTCCAGTCTTCTGGAGGTAAAAGGAGAATGAATTTGTGATCTAATTCTACATCACAGCTGCCTTGGAGGCTGGCTAGGATCAGGTTGCTCTTGTGTTTTGGGGAATATAATTTGACTTCTTAGAAGTCTTGTTTAGAAAAACAGCCATGTGTTGATAGAGTATAGTTTAATCAATAAGCTACAAATATTCTGTTTGGTCCACAGAATCTATATCGACTAACCTGTTTTCTGACAGAACTCATCTGAGTTCATAAGGAACATCAGAGTCTGTTTATAGCAAATATTCTCTGCACATACAAATTCCCCCTACAAATTCCTCGCTAACTCTAAAAAAATGAGTTAAAACAGCAAGATGATTTGACTTCTCTTGCTTCACTTTCTTGTGTCTTTTTGTGTCTTCTACGCATTTGTTTCAGGGCATACAGGCTGGTGTTTATCTTAACGGCTGATGGACTCTTCTAGAACAACCATGTCCACAGTCTGTGCAAGGCTTTGGGAGGAAGGGGGGAGATATAATAAATTTGAAATTAAAAAAAATCCCTTTATAAAACAATGTGGATTTCCTTCCCTAAGCAAAGCCATGTTGAGTCTAATTCTGAAAAACCATAAGCTGAAGAAACATAACATCTCTGCCAGTGAAGCCACAGAGACGAGCGGATCCGTATTTAGAATCCTGCAGGGAAGGTTGACTTAAATATTTATTTTCCATGCTGTTAACCCAATTGTAGTGCAAGTCATTATGCATGCTAAAATTACTTTCTTGCTCTACTGAAAATTCATGCTGACATCGAACGAGGCAGAAAGAGGCTTGGCCACTCTTGTCAGATCGAGACAAAAAGAACGTAACCTAGAAGAACAAATGAGGGATTTTCCATAGATTTTGTTTTATAAAATATCGTCCGTGACTATATTTCAGAATTTGGCTATAATTTCTGTAAGTCTGGTATCAAATTTCTGAATGTTACAGTTGAGTCAAAAGATGCAGTTTTTGTTAAGAAAGAAACTATTAAATGTGAAAATAACACTTCACTTAATAGGGCTGCTGTCCCGGAAAAAAATATCCTTAAAGAAAGTCACTATCAAAACTGATCCTACCCAGAATAGGATACAAATAAATTACTAGTGTGTGCCCAAAACACTAGGAAAGCATCTTTAAATAAGACAGGCTTACCCTAAGCATTTTGTTTTAGAAGTAAATAACAAACATACAAAAGGTAGTATTAATAGATCCGCGTAACCTACAAACAAATGCTCCTGGTTCTTGTCCATTTCTTCGAATGTCTTTTTTCTCAGACAGCTGAGCTGGGGGGCCAGCGAGGTCTCAGTTTCTTGTGGTCACAAGTGTTTCCATGAGAGAGTCAAAACATAGACCCTTTGAATTCAGACGTTCTGGGCGGTTGTTCTTGGTCTGCCCCTTCCTTAGCTGCTTTCTCCAGCTAATTTTATCTCTGTCTTATCCAGCTTTCTATTCCTGATCATGGCACAGTCCTGTATCTGTGAATGTAAGGAAAGCATCCCGGCATTGTGATTCTCAGCAAAACACTCATAACCAGGAGTGGAAATAATGCCAGAATCACGTGAGACCCAGATACCAGGTAGGGTGGATTTCTATTGAAAAAATTAAATGACAACGAAAATAAAGTCTGATATGACAGAATACAGGAATTTTTTTTTTTTTTTGAGACAGAGTCTCGCTCTGTCACCTAGGCTGGAGTGCAGTGGTATGATCATAGCTCACTGCAGCCTCGACCTCCCAGGGTCTAGAGATTCTCCTGCCTCAGCCTCCTGAGTAGCTGGGACCACAGGTGCCCACCACCATGCTGGGCTAATTTTTGTATTTTTTGGTAGGCATGGGGTTTTACCATGTTATCCAGGCTGATCTTGAACTCCTGGGCTCAAGAGATTTGCCCACCTCAGCCTCCCAAAGTGCTGGGATTACAGGTGTGAGCAACCGTGCCCAGTCTGAATATGGGAATTTTAGCAAAGCAGGGGTAAGGTCCAGGAGAACTCAGGTTGGAGGAAGGGACAAGGTACCTGGAGTGCTGGTGACGAGAGTTAAGAAGTGGCCTGGCCAGGCGGCCCCCAAGAGATGAATAGGCTTAAGGCAGGAGGATTTTTCTCCCCAGGGCAGCCCTCAAAACTGGGCTTCCAGTTTGACCCCGAGAGAAGAATGCTTATTATTTCTTTAATAAAACTGACTACGTTTCTAACATGTCCAGACAAAAAACAACAACAACAACAACAACAACAACAACAACAAAAAACCATTCTCAGCCTGATTCTCCTCACCTGTACAATGGTACTAGTAACTGTGCCCATCATGCTGCACTGAAAGGCAGATGCGAGAATTCCCATACACGATGTGGCACGGGCAGACGGCCATACTCCACACACACGAGGGCTCTCCCTCCTCAATTCAAAGCTGAAGACCTTTCTAGTAGGCTGCTGGGAAAAATGGAGATGTGATCGCATCACGCTCCAGTGCAGTGGTCTGCATTCAATAGAGGAGGGATATTAATGGGCACAGCTGGGTACAATTAGTAAAAGTATACATAACTTCCACCCAGTCATTCCTCGAGGGGGGAGAAGGAAAAGGGTGTCACTAGAAAGGGGCAAAGGATGGAAAAGATAAACTGGGGACCCAGAGACAAATCGTCAAAGCCTGACAGTTTTCCCACACAAACCATCTTTGTGCACTTTTAACCTGGTTATGACAAACTAAAGCTGCACAGCAGAGTATTTTAGCAGGACAACTAGGAAAAAAATGCATGCTTTAAAAAGCATGTTTGGGCTGGGCACAGTGGCTCATGCCTATAATCCCAGCACTTTGGGAGGCTAAAGTGAGCAGATCATCTGAGATTGGGAGTTCGAGATCAGCCTGATCAACATGGAGAAGCTCCGTCTCTACTAAAATAAACAAACAACAAAAGAAAAACCCCACAAAACTAGCCAGGCATGGTGGCACATGCCTGTAATCGCAGCTAGTTGGGAGGCTGGGGCAGGAGAATTGCTTGAACCTGGGAGGCAGAGGTTGTGGTGAGCCGAGATCACGCCATTGCACTCCAGCCTGGGCAACAAGAGCGAAGTTCTGTCTCAAAAAAAAAAAAAGGATGTTTGGTTTCACAAAAAGAAGTCCTTTGTCAAGGGATTGGAAACTTGTGGCATCAATCTGAAATTGGCAATGAGTGGTCCGAGTCATTTCAGTGGCTTTCTGTCTGGTGTTCAGTCAGTTCCATGAGCCATACTTGGGTGAAGGCAGACAGCTTACTCAGTCCGTCTGCTGATAAAGCTTCTGCCAGATTATATCTGTGATTTCTGTTAACTAGGACTTATTTAAGCAAATTATGAGCTAGTGCCCTTCTAGACACTCTCATTTTAAATAAGCTCGACAGAATTTCAATCTTACAGATTCACAGAGAAAATATCAGACATGTTCCTTTTGTACAAACCAGAGCTTCACATTTCAAGCTTCAGAACAACATTGCACAGGCACCTACGAGGACAGAGTGTTATAAAGTGACAAGGAGGATAAAGGGGCGGTGTTTTAGGAGCCCCTGCTCACCTGGCACACTCCATCGGTGTATTCACCCTACCTGGGAAACCTGTCAACTACGCAACACGTTAAAAACTTAGAGATCCTAAGTGACACCAGTCAGGTACGTGGCCTAAGTCATAACAGAGGTAGATACAGAGAATCACAGAGTTTAACAGAAAATGCCCTGAGTGTTTAAAATAGAATTCGTTTCTAAGAAATGTTTTACAGATAGCTCTTGAAAAAAAAAAAAAAATCCTACTGCCAAAAGTTAGGCTCACATATTTTGTGAATTGTACAAAATGAAAAGATGGGTCTAGTTCATTGGAGAAGATCGTGAAGAAATTATAACTGTCACAAACAATGTTATAATTGAAAAAGCCTGGCATAGTGGTTCACGCCTATAATCCCAGCATTTTTGGAGGCAGAAGTGGGAGGACTACTTGAGCCCAGGAATTTGAGACACTTGTTTCTATAAAACTTGAAAAATTTTCCAGGTGTGATTGTGTGTGCCAATGGTCCCAGCTATTCAGGAGGCTGAGGCAGGAGGACTGTTTGAGCCCAGGAGGCTGAGGCTGCAGTGGGCAGTGACTGTACAACTGCACTCCAGCCTGGGTGACAGAGCAAGATTGTGTTTTTTGAAAATGAAAAAACCAAAACGATTGATAAAAGATTTAGGTCTTTTTTCTAAGACCAGGTCTCATTCTGTCACCCAGGCTACAGTGCAGTGGTGTGATCACTGCTCACGGTAGCCTCAGCCTCCTGGGTTCAAGTGATCTTCCCAGGCTCAAGTGATCCTCCTGGGTTCAAGCCACCTTCCCATGCCAGCCCCCTGAATAGCTGGGACCACAGGGCCTAGGGATTTGGGACATTCTAAAATGCACTTTATGAATGTGTATCTAGTGATAAAAAGTATTCAAAACTCCCAACTTCAAGGCTCTCATCACAGCTGGTCAGCTCCTTCTGGTCTCACTGAAAATTACAAATACGAATCAGTTCTCTCCCCACACACATACTGTTCCCCGCAGAAGGGGCCATGAGTTCATTTAATTATCGGGTAAGAGCAAGGCCAGTCATTCCTTTACCTGAGTCATTCAGCTTTATCTCAAAAAATGATTTTTCACCAGAAGAATTAGTTTGATGTAGTCAGAGTTTAACAGTAGGAAGTATCGATCTCCTTACGAAGTTCTGCTGTCATCACACCGTCAGAGGCATGTTCGCTGAGCTCTCTCCCATACCTGCATGAGGTCCTGGCTTGCCGCAGGACTGAAGGCAGAGCCTGTCTCTGCCCTTTTAGTAAACGGGGACACAGCCACAGACAGAGAGGAAGGAGAACTGTGACCACTCAGAGCCCACACAGCAGTCCCAGAACTGATGCATTGGAAAGATCCTCCCTGATCGTGGACAAGGAAGGAGGGAAAACACGACCCTACACGCAGACACGCAGACTGGTGTCTATGTCTTCCTTGGCTTGGGAGCGGCAGGGAAACAGAAATGGGGAAGGGCTCGCAAGAGGAAATGCACACGCTGGAGAGGGTGAGGTTTCCGGCAGAGGCAGAAGGATTTGAGATGAGGGAGAGGACAGAGCAAATGGGAGACTCGAGCAGGTGCAGGGGGAGAGCCTGGGGGGCCGGGGCACGTATGTTCTGACCAGAAGGAAAAGGTGGGAGCTGCTTCGGGGCTTCCAGGAAAGGACAGCTAGTCAGTGAGTTGTAGAAGAAAGGGAGGGTCTTTTTTTAGCAGCACCATGAAACATACTGTAAAGACTGTTGGGATGAGAAAGCGCAAGAAAGTGCAAACTCGTTTCAGACAAGAACAGAGCCCGGGCTAGGATCTCGCGGAGGAAACGGAGATGGAGACGAACAGCGCGAGCAGGCGTAGACAGCAAAGTGGCAACTCTGGATGGCGAATCTGCAGGAGGCCAGGAACGCAGCTCATTTTGGGATGCCTCCCGCTGCCAAACACTGGGTTTGGCTCTTTTTATGCCTGTCCTTCGAATGCCTTTTTTTAAAAAAAAAAAACTTGGGTGTAATTTAAAATTTTTTATCGTGGTAAAATAGATATAAAAGTTGCCATTTTAACCATTTTTAACTGTACAATTCAGTGGCATCAAGTACATATACAATATGGCGCAACAATTGCTACTATCTATTTCCAGAATATTCTCATCACCCCAAATAGAATCTCTGTAACCGTTGACTAGTAACTCTCCATTTCCCCTCTTTCAAGCCCCTGGAAACCACCTTCCTACTGTCTGTCTCTGAGTCTGACCATTCTACACACCTCATATAAGTGGAACCATACAATATTTTTCCCTTTGTGTCTGGCTAATTTCACTTAGCCCAATGCCACCAAGGTTCATCCATATTTGGTTATGTACCAGGAATGCCATTCCTTTTTACGGCTGGATAAAGTTCCACCACATGTATAGACTACATTTTGTTTATCCAGTCATCAATTGATGGACACTTAGGTTGCTTCTATCTTTTGGCTACAGTGAATAATCCTGCAATGAACACTGGCACCCAAGTATCTAAGTCCCCGTTTTCAGTTCTTTTTGGCCTAGACCTGGGAACCCTACAGTGATTCCATGTTTAGCTTTTCCAGACACTTGCCCCTCAACCGTTTTCTGCAGGGGCTGCACCACTGTACATTCCTACCAGCACCACATGCGGGTTCCGAGTTCTGCACATCTTCGACAACACATGCTATTTTCTGGTTTTGTTTGGTTTTTGGTTTTAAAGTAATGGCCATCCTGATATGTGTGAAGTAGTATCTCCTTGTGATTCCAGTTTGCATTTTCCAAATGACCAGTGATATGGAGCATATTTTCTTGTGCTTATGGGCCGCTTGTATATCTTCCTTGGAGAAATGTCTGTTCAAATCCTCTGTCCATTTGTATAGGGTAATTTAATTTTGCCTAGATCTCTTCACAGGATTTGATTTAGCTGCTGACAACACTGACTGAGTTCGCAACCTAAAAGTCAACAAAATAGATACACATTCATTTATTCCTCAATTAAGTGAACACATACTATGTGCCAGAGACAATGTCAGATCCTCTGGATACAGGGGATAGATACTCAACAGAGAGAGTCCTGGCTGACAGTCCAGGGAGGAAGAACGACTATAAGTAAACAGATAATGAAATCTGGTGGCAACAACTGTCACAAAAAAAATGAAACCATCTATGTAAGGTGATGGTATGACTATAGGAAGCCTCCCTGAGAAGATGACCTTTGAGTGCAGGCCTGTTTAAAGCCAGGAAACGAGCCAAATGAACAGCGCATGCCAGGAGGAGGAGGACTGCAGGTGGACACATTTGCAAAGGTCCTTGGAGGGACGTGCACAGCTTGTTGGAGAAACAGCAAGACAGCCCGTGTGACTAAGCACAGTGTGAGGTGGGTAGGGTATAAGGTCACACAACCGATTACATAATTTATACAAACTGTGAGTTAATATACACTCATACCCATCCTGTCAGGATTGTGTGGTATTGATCATACTGGACATTGCCATTACCCCATAAAGGTTTAAATACTAAGCACTTCATACTATTTTCATTAGCAGGCAAGAATTACCACGTTCGTCACGAGATTAAAATATATATATATATATATATTATCAATTGTGATGAAATACACATAAACACTTGCCATCTTAACCATTTTGCCACAAGTTCTTTTTTTGGAATATATAGTATGCAAAGAAAAAAAATCTAACTTAGGTCACGTGTGATTTAAAAAAAAAAAAAAAAAGACCTTCCTAAAATGCAATAAAAAAAAAAAAAAAAAAAAACCAAATTATCCCTCCAATAAAAAATGTGGTTTAAAACTGAAAAAAAAAAAAAAAAAACCTTAAAAATATAGGGTAACTGTGATTAGAAGTCCTGACATATTCACTGTTTTTGATTTAGCAAACTTTCAACAACTGACTTTATAAAGCATCTTGAAAGTTGCTTGCTATTGGGCCCATCAGCATTCTCACCCTCCCGACCTTGATTCCCAATGTGCTTTTTAAAGGAAACAGCGGGCACAGCACTGCCTCAGACAGGCGCACATCAAAGGTCTGTTGAATTTCACTCAGCCCTCTGCCTGACTCCCCTCACAATGCATTTATTATCTCTGCTCCTTGAAAATAAAACATAGGGCCCAAGGGAAAACGAAGAAACAACCTTGCATTGCAAAACCTTAATTGCAAGTTTGTCTTCCAGAGAGATAAAGAGTGAAGATATCTGCAGCTTCGGACTACCTGGAATCCAAGGGCAAAGCAGGTTTGTTTCCTAAACACAGTCATTAGGATGGCTTTGACTTGTCTTT